CCCCGGCAACTAGTACCCAAGACAGAGTACGGTTTTTGGTCGGTTCGAGTAAGATATAACCATCCGATGAGTGATATCCGAGGGGATTTCCGCACACGAAAAAAAAAAGAAAAAAAGGGGGTTAGATTGGACTAAATTGAGTGAACTCTAATCTGAATCTTTCATTCAGGAAGTTTGGATTTTAGATACAAGTTTGGTCCTAGCTGTACATCAATACAAAGAACATTTTGTAACACCGTTTTCACTGCGGCTACAAACGTCAAAGCATCTGTTAGATACCAATCAAGAAATATTAAATTTGCGTCAATAGTGCTTTAATGAAGATAAACTATCTCTGTAATCTGGTGTTGATTGATCGTAGCAATATGATTACTAGAATGATTTTATTTTGACTGAAATCGTCCTGTTTTGTGTGTTTGGGGAAGATTAAAAATTATATTTTTTGTTTGGATCATTTTCTATCGAGATTCGGAAATATTATACAGTCTTACCAATATTTCTGTATGGCCTAGAAACGTAAATGGTTAGTCGGTAATTTTTTGGAATGGCAAAATAAAGTATAAAGACCACGGCCAGCGCTTTTAACATCATAACTTAGAAGTAATTACTTATAACCAACTTAGTGCGTGTAACATCTTGTGAAGCTAAGATAAAGTAGAAAATCATTGAATCTATTTCTACATGAAAATGTTACTAGCACTTATATTATTTTTTAACCGACCTAAAAAACATAAGAGGGGAGGTTCTCAATTCGACTGTATCTTTTTGCATGTTTGTTTTATTTGTATTATATTTAGTGTAAGCGATATCTCTGTCAATTGCAGTACGATTTTCAAAAAAAAAAGTTAAGGTTATAAAAAATCGTAACTTGGCATGTTTTAAGTTCATACGAAGTAGGACACTGGATACTTTTTAATAGAAAAGTTATACGAAAATTGTACTTGGAGGTGGCAAAATATGGTATTAAAGCTTGGTTTATTGGAGCTTGCGGTGAGAATACAATAATTTTATAAGTATATTTGTTTAAATTTAGGTGAATAGATCCCGTCGCAATTGTCGCAAATCCCGTATTCCGGCAGACGGCAGTGCAAATTTATCAACATCAACATGGGCAATCATGTTCCTGGCACTGCATATAGTACTCACTACTATACTACATACTAGAGTCGCCTACTGTTCAACAGTTATAGTATGTCGGATATGAACAGAGGTGGTGTTAGATGATTCAGGCTTTAATTACCATGCCGGTGATTTTTACTCGACAAAAGTAAGAAGTGCATTAATCATTATTTTTAACTACATGTGGCGTGCTAAACTGTATTAATAACCCACATGAGTGGTTTTTGCTTATTTATAAGTAGGTAGGTAATACCACTACTTACTACTATCAAGTGAATATTTTTATAATTCATCAATATAGAGATGTAGTCCATCTGATTGTTTACGCGGATATAGGCGCAAGCGCAAGTAAGTACCAAATGTATTTATTAGTTCTTGAAACATTTTCGACCAAGCCAAACAATATACAGTGTTTGGCTGTCTACTTTTAACTATCTTTTTCCTACCCAAAACGGTATAGTAGCGGTGTATAACGTGTAGATTAACCCATTTCTTCACAGATGGAGCTATACCAAAAAATTCTATCTAATAACTAATATTACCTATAATTTAAAAAAAATGACAAATACAAGAACTCGATAAAGATATGCCTTAATCTTAAAAAGATTTGATGTTCAGAATGATAAGATTATTATATTATATCTACAGGTACATACATACTGATAATATAATGTAAAACAGTAAAAACAAAATAAACAACAGTGATTTTTAAACGGAGTTTTGTAAGAGAAGATAGGAATTATTACTTATCATAATTCGCTATTTCTTGGTTTTGTAAGGAAAAAAGAAAGATGACCTTGGTCGAACTTCATTATCAAAATAAGTGTTGATTAGTGCGAAAATGTTCGACGAAGAAGACGTGGTAAAAGTTGTAGCGGTATTTTGTTGATAGGTTAGGTAATAAACATGCCTATTAGATGTAAAGGAAACGCCAGATCGGCAATGAATATGGTGACCAATAGCAACCATGCATGACGCTGTAGGTGAAACCGAGCAATGAGTTTTCATTGAATTATTAATCTACTTCGGGCCGGTTTCTCAATCTTCAGTTATACTGTCAGACAACTAACTTGGGAATAAATTTATCTTGCTGTTTATCAAGGGAATAAACTTTTTCTGTTTTTCAGTCGGGTGTAAAGCGACAGATAGTTACTTGATGGTCTTTAATGGCTAAGTTTACTGTCAACGTGTGCAAGCGAGACGCAGTTATATAGTTAGTAACACGTTAGATAAGGGCCACAAGCTTTTAGACAACATCTAGTCGTCAGATAATAAGAACAACCGTATTGACGGTGGTAGTACAGTGGACAATAGTGTCACGGTACTATTATAATACAGTACTGCAACTTCATACAAACGGACGAAACGGGAGCTATACCTACGCGCCTCGATCTCGGGGTGCGCTCGGGGCGCAGACAGTCACGGCTGTACCGCAGTGTCGAACGGACTGCGTGTTGTTTTTTTAACAATAACCGCGCGATTTTTTCTCTAAAAATCAGTTAATATGACGAGTAGGAAATATTGTGCTGTTTTTGGTTGTATGAATTCGTCAATAACGCATCCAGACATAAGTTTTTTTAAATTACCTGGAAACTCTGAAAAGTAAGACTATAAAATAATTTTACTTACTAGTACGTAGGTACATAATGTGTGTCTTTTTAATGGATAAGTATTTCCTTTTATCTCACGAAAAAAAAAGGTGTTTGGATGAATAAATAAAGCAAATAGAGTAACGGAAAGTTATTGAGACGAGTGAAATAGGGAGTTACATGCGGTTCTGAATGAATCATGATACGGTAGGTACCTACCTACTTACGCTTGTGTTAAAACTTCGGTGCATGTTTGTTTTGTTACTTTGCATAATTCAAAAAAAAGAAAATTCTACTTAAAGACGTGGTATTTTATTATTAATAATATATCTTTATTATCTGTGTGTATGAATAATACTAAAAAAAATTTGTTACCGTCTGTGTGTCATTAGACAGTTTTCGAAATTTTCACAAAGTGTTTCTGCTGCTACTATAACAACATATACCACTAAAAACTGGTTTTATTTTCTCGGTATTAACAACAACAGCTAGACTCATATATAATATTTAGATGTTTGAGGGTTGTGATTTTAAAACATTCGTAGTCAGCTGTTCAGCTTTTTTAATAATTAATTAATTGGTGACCAAAGAATTTTTGTTTTGAGTTGTTGCGAGTTGTAGGTTATAGGTTAGGTAATTTATAGAGACGTTAATTAGCTGAGATAAAAAGTTACTTACTCGTCAGCTGTTTCTTGCATTCTAGTTGAGTAGGTGGTAGGTGTTGGAGTTTCTAAGGATTGGAGTTTTGTAACGCGTATGGAGAAAGCACATTTATTTTATTTTATAGAAGGATTTTTTTCGGTCGCTAATTTATAAGCCCGATTGGTTTTTCAAACAAAAAAATGTTTTTTAATTAAATCTACCAATCAAAAAACAACACGCATTTTTATTGAACAATTCCTATTCAATATACAAAGTATTTCATTTATTTATATAAAAAGGATATTTACAATCACAAATCTAAATAGAAACAGAAAGTAGGCAAATATCACTAAAATGCTGGAGACGGGCAGCCCTAACGCATGTTTACGTACCGCGCGGCTGTAGGCATTTATTTCTATCATGCGGCCGAGTTACAATACTGTATTATAATAGTACCGTGATAGTGTGGTGATTTGTGTAACGGACTGCTACTCGAAAGGTCGCGGGTTCGATTCCTGCTCCATTCAAACAATTTGTGTACATATTAATTAATTATTATTATATTTAATTATTAAGTTTTGTCTGGGTGTTTCTCTCAGGACGAACCAAAATTTAAATACTCAATAAGGGCAACGTATATACGTATGTATATATTTTACTACAACAAATATTAGATAATGTAAACAAATACAGAAAAGTCAGAATCACTATTCTATAACTAATATCACTAACTGAGGCCTGAAAGGACAGATACAGTTTTTCCTTGGATTAAAGTTTTATTCTTCAGGTAATAGCTATCTAATCATTGAAAATCATTGAAAAATTACGCTAACTGTGCAATAAATGCTTACTAACTGTTTATCTCAGGATTGAAAAACCAGCCCTTATTATTCCAATTCTAAACTGACATTGATAGGGACTACCGATTACGATAAGCGCTACACATCAATAACAACGAACCTCAAGCTTTAGGTGTCGTTTTCTGCAAGCGCAACTGTTAGACTTAGTTAGATTAGACACGTAAATGTGGACTTAGGACTTTATATTGATCCTATACACCAGGGATTTCCTAAGTGGTCGATATCGACCCCTTGGAATCGAAATTGGTTTCCTAGGGGTCGACATAAACGAAAAATTGACCAATATCAATTAACACAAGTTTCTTTTTGCAACTTTCAAGATACTAGTTGTGTTACGTATATAAATTACTAATATTTTAGTATGAAGTATCATTGTTGTACTTTTTAAAAACCTCAACATGTCAATAAGCATGTAGGCAATTGGCTATTGGGGTCTGAGCTATCAATTCATTTAAGAAAAGGAGTCTCTTTTCCAAAATCGATTGGGAATCCCTACTATACACCATCAGCAAAACGACATAAAGCTAATAGACTAAGGAGTGTTTGTGCAGTGTAACCTCTATTTTCTGTAAGTTTTATAACTGATATGTATCAGGAAAATCAATCAGACTACTAATATGAGAGTGAAAAAATGATGCGAACATAAGTTTGCCATGATATTATCTAGGTATCTGGGCATTTATTCCATGCAACGCAGTTGTGATTACTTTAGACTATTATAAATTACAATATACGATATTAAAATATCTGCATTGGTATATTGCAATACAGCTCACGCGTATAATCTTACCTCATTACTGTAATAGCACTGTCTCTCCTCAGGAGTGAAGGCCTTGACGCCAGATGTGGCATACGTCCTCTCAGGTGACAAAGCTATTAAGACTTCGGTAGAAGGATTCACCATACGAACTGGTGAGTCTAGATCAGGAAAGTTATATGCGTTGTCTACTATAACCTGTGATGAGTAAAATTTAATATTAATAATTAAAAATACAACCTAAAATGCAAAAAAAAAAACTTCATTGTGGATAGCAGTCTAAAAAACTAAACAAGAGAGGTTAATGAAGTAACCTCTCTTTCGAGAAAGGTGTGATCGTACTAATATTCTGAAATTATCAACGGGCCTGATGGTCTAGTGGTTAGTGGTCCTGACTGCTAAGCCAGACATCGTGAGTTCGATTCCTATCCAGTGTAAATTATTGTGTGTCATGGCGCACTATTAAACGAGATTATAGTAATTATAGTTCTGACGTCCCAAACGCAGCTTATCAATATTTTATTGATGATTTTACTTTTTTATGACCTGTGTTTCCCTAAAACACTTATTTTGACAAAAGTAAATAGTAAACCAAAATGGGCTTCGAATGGAATCAAAATCTGCAGTAAAAGAAAAAGGCACCAAGTTTAAGAATGACTGCAAACATTTTTAAAAGAATCATAATCTTAACTAAACGTGCACAAAATAATTATAAAATAAAACATCATTAAATAAGTCAAAACGGCATGGCACATAATAAACAAATCAAGATTAAATTTACTTATTAATACTATTAATAACATAGAAACTGAAATGGCTAACGTTTTTAACAACTATTTCATTGACAAAATAAACCCAATACCAGGGGCTGGAGAAAACGATACCTCTTCAATTAATAAATCAATAAACTCAATGTTTTTGGCACCAAGCACGTCCTATCAAATAAATAAAATTATAAAAATCGGAGAAATACCAACAGTGTAGGACACGATGGCATAAACACTAAAATAACTAAAGCAGTTAGTGAAGATATCAGCCATCACCTTAGCCACATAATTAGGCTAAGTATTTCAAAAGGAATATTTCCGAACGATCTTAAGCTTACAATTATTAAACATTTATTTAAAAAGGATTATCGTTTATTAATCCAAAATTATAGGCCAATTGCACTGCTCTCAACGTTTTCAAAAATATTTGAGAAATATCTGTACGGCAAAATTAATTCCTTTCTAGAAAATAAAAAAACATTGTGCAAGGAACGAAAAGGATTTCGGCAAAAGAAGACAATTAATATGGCAATTTACGAATTTATTGAGAATGTTATATCACACGTTGGCAAAAAACTCCTGCTTGTGCAATCTATTGTGACATGACTCAAGCATTTGACTACGTAAAACATAATATATTGATTTAAAAACTTACTGAAATCATCTGCTGATAGGCAGCAGATAACAGAAATAACAACCGTGTGGTGACGGATTAAGAATACAGAGTGTCATCACCCCTATTTATCCCGTGGGTGTCGTAAGAGCCGACTAAAGGAGCAAACTACGCAGAACAACAGCACTGCAAAGAGAAGGAAAACTTGAAACAAACCCTATACCAACCGGTCTGGCCAGCTTCGTATAGTAGGCTAAAACCTCCTTTCTAAGGAGAGGCCTATGTCCAGCAGTGGACTGCTAAAGGCTGTTGATGTGATTGATGAACAGAAATAACGAGAGTGAATCCTTTAACAAAAACTGAAGAATGATATACCTCTGTAAGGCATTGCGTTTCATATGGTGTTCCCCAGGGGAGTGTACTGGGCCCACTCTTGTTTATCATTTACAATAATGACTTGCTAAATGCCACAAATCAAGCAATGACATTATTCGCTGATGACAGCACCGTTACAATCGTAAGGGATAGCAAATTGAATTGGAAGGCACACATTGATTCATTATGCAAAAAAGTAAGCAGCACCAATTATAAACACGGATGCATTACTATCGGCATATCATGGGCTTGTACAATCCATTCTTAGGTATGGTATCATCTTCTGGGCCAACTCTACCAATAAATATATGGTGCTTAAAATTCAAAAGCGATGCATACGGGCTATGTTCGCCCTCCAAACTACAGAGCTGTAGGCCGGTATTCATAAAGCATAATATTTTCACGCTCCCGTCACTATACATAATGAAAACAGCCTTATTCGTCAAAAACAGCCAACACTTATTTCCACGTTTAGCTGATGTATATAGCGGTAGGAATAATCGACGTAACAACAATAGACTTTGTATTCATCCTGCCAAAACAGCGCTATTACATAAAAGTGTTGTGTGCAAATCTCCAATAATCTATAATAAGATTCCCGAAAATATCAAAATATTATACATAGAATTATTTAAAAAGACATTCAAAAAAATTCTAAGTCAAAAATGTTATTACAGTATAGATGATTTTGTGAATGACAAAACTTTATGAGAAATGTAACATATTATGTAATAATAATATTGGCTTGAACGAATTTTTAACAGACATCAATATCCAATAATATAGGTAACTTATGCAATCTACGGCCTGTGGTATCAATTTATTTATAATTTGAGATGACTGACAATGAAATTAATAATTGTATTATAACTTATTCGTCTGGCAATGTCTATTTTGAATTGTTATTGTTATATACATTCAGTCAAAAAAGTATCGGGAATGAATGATTTGTTAATGGTTCCAAATTTTTGTGTTTTTTTTTTTTTGATGTTGTTAGATTGGCACAACTGTTATCCATTTTGGCGCGGAGTTTGAGGTGCATCTGTTATTTATACTGGTCAGCAAATAAACCGAGCCACCCGCTACCTAGGAACTCTGATTCGATTTTCTCAAAAAGTATAAAACTTACAACTATCAAAGTTATACCTACAAAAAGTGCGTTTCATGGTGATTAAAATGACTAAAAATTAATTCGAAAGTACCGTCAACTCACATTGTAATCAAGCAACAAACACAATGCTAACGATTTGCTCTGTTTTCACCAGAGTTTGAAATTAGCGTTCTTTTTCTCTACAATGAGGGTAGTAGGATATTTCTTATCATTTTCTTTAGTTTTTTGTCCATCGTTTGCTCAGACGCATCGTTTGTGTTTTTGCTACTTTTTTACTTGAGGAGGATCTGTAATGGTCTGGGGCGGCATCTCGTTAACAGCACATACAGCGTTAGTTTTCATCGAACCGACGGGCCGTACACGTGGACTGACTTCTCATCGCTACATTACTGAAATCCTCACAGACGATGTGGTACCTTACGCAGGATATATCGGACAGGATATGCAATTGATGCATGATAATGCACGGCCTCATGCTGCTCATGTGGTGACCCAGTATCTACGCGACGTCAGCATTCGTACGATGGACTGGCCAGCTCGAAGCCCGGACTTGAATCCGATAGAACACTTATGGGATGAGCTGAAACGTCGGGTTCGAGCCCGGGTACCTGCTCCAACAAGGCTTCCAGAGCTGCGAATCGCAATTGAAGAGGAGTGGAATACAATTCCTCAAGATTTTATCGTCAGGCTCGTAAGGTCGATGAATACAAGGATGCTGGCAGTTATCCGAGCAAGGGGAGGGAATACGGAATATTGATCAAAAACTTTTTTTTGATTTTATCTTTGTTTTTGGCTTTAATTATTTTTTTCACTTTTTCATTCACAAAAGTCCAGTCACGACTGGAAAACGACTCTTCTTTGTAAAATCCTTAGTAAACACTGAAATATTGATTAAACCCAATGAGTTTCCTTTCATTTTAATCACTATGAAACGCACTTTCTGTAGGTACAACTTTGTTAATTGTAGGTTTTTTAGTTTTTGAGAAAATCGAATTAGAGTGCCTAGGTAGCAGGTGGCTCGGTTTATTTGTGTCCAGTGTATATTAAATACAGGGCTGCTTTTAGTTATATCATATCTAGTGTGTATTGCGAATTTCATAATGGTCAAAAACATCGAACAAAGAGTCTGTCTTAAATTTTGCATCGCCAATGGAATTGCGTGTTCCGAGTCACTGAAATTGTTACAGAAGGCTTACGGTGAATTGACTTTATCAAAACACGTGCCTATATGTGGTACAAAGCGTTTAAAAGCGTTCGAGATGTGATGAAAGATATGCCTCGCTCTGGTAGGCCATCAACATCTGCAACTGAAGTTAATATCGCAAAAGTCAAGGAAATAGTGACTGAAAATCCTCATTCAACTTTGACAGAGATAGCCGCCGAACTTTTTGTATCTCACGAGTCGATCCGTACCATTTTAACTAATCATTTGGGTATGAAACATGTTACCGCTAAGCTAGTCCCAAAAGACCTGAATTATCTCCAAAAATGGTTGAGGACATGCTAGAACGAGTCAATTTGGACCCAACATTCATGAAACGCATTGTTACTGGTGACGAGTACGCATTAATACTGGTACGTGGGTTTACGAGTTTGACATGCAAACTAGTCAACGAGCTTCGGAGTGGCGCCTTCCAACTGAACCGAAACCGAAAAAACCACGCCAAAGTCGATCAAAAGTTAAAGTCATGTTGACTGTTTCCTTTGACTATCGCGGTGTTGTGCACCGCGGTATTTTTGCCGGAAGATGAAACGGTAAATAAAGAATATTATATAAGCGTTATGCATTTAAGAGAGCAAATTCGACGAATAAGGCCAGATTTGTGGAAAGAAAATTCTTGGATTTTGCAATTTTTGACCAAGCACTCAACAAATACCATCGAGCAACCACCATATATGGCTCCAGTCGACTTCTTTCTTTTTCCTAAACTCAAATTACCAGTTCGTTGCACCCGTTTTCAATCGGTAGGAGATATAAAGAAGAATTTGCGGCGAGAACTGAACTCAATTCCGGAAACAGCCTTTAAAAAATGTTTTGAAGATTGGATTATTCGTTGGCGTAAGTGTATCGTTTCTGAAGGAGCATACTTTGAAGGTGATAAAATAAATTTGGGTGAATAACAAACATTTTTTGTATTATTGATATTTTCCCGGTACTTTCTTGACAGAGTAGTGTGTAACATTTTAATGATAAATATTTGCACACCAATAATGTGGTAAAATACAACAGACAAATCTGTATTTTGTAACACCTATAAATGTACCTGTGTTTGCAAATAAA